GTTATCTAAAATGGTTTTCTTAGAAAATATAAATCGAGATATTAAAAATTAAGCAAACAAAACCATTAAATGAGTTACTTACTTAGTTAACGTTAGAAACGCAGCTAATGGAAATTCTAATTTATTTTGGGCAAAGTGCCCAAAAAAAATTTTTTATCAAGAATCCAGGACACTTCGTTGAGAAGCTAAGATCGCTAATGTCACCAACATGATCATGCTCTTGAGCTTCGATATGGATTCGCTTTTTACGATGGTGCCGTTAGAAGAATCCAAATCCGAGAATTCACCATGGAGAATAATGGAAGCTTACTTTTCCTAGATGTTTTGGTTTAGAGACTATCTAATGGAGAGCTGGGGCATCCGGTCGACGGGAAGAAAAGAATCAAACCACCATGCCAGACAAACTGAGGCATCATTCAACCCACCAGAGCTGAAAGCATTTGGGATCCAAATGAACTTGAAAGGGAACTGCGACAGTTGGAGAGGGTGTTTGACTTCAATGGGTACTATTATCAGACGATAAGAAGAATACTCAGGCCAATAACTTTTTACCGAATTGACACAAAAGTGAACGAATCCGTGGAGAAGCAGGGCTTCGGCTACATACACAGAATCCCGACAAAATTGGTAGAACAGAACCATAAAACATCAAAACCACCTTCAAGGCAACAAAAACCATTCAGGAGAGTCTAAGGTCGACCAATGACAAAAAGATCTTCTATCAGCATCTGGAGTTTACAGGAGTTCATGCAGCTGTGGCTCAGTCTACATCTCACACACTTTCTGATGAGGACAATGCAGCAGAATAAGGAAAGGAGGTACCAAAAAATGATACAAATAAAAAACATCGATCATTTTTAAAATGACCGAATATTAAAGTCCCATACCAGAGGCAATGTTTGTTAAGGGTTAAGGCAGGCATCATTTGGATATTCGGGTTGTCTGCTCCTGCAGGCTGGGCCACCAATTGTTCCAGTTTCAGGTTGGAAAGGTTATTGTCGAAGGAAATAAACATGATGTAGTAGGACAATGTTTTAGTAGGACAAAGCGAAAAATGTTAAATAGTATTTCAGAAATACAAAAGGTTTCTTTGGAGTTCAACATCAAATATTTTGGTAGTCAAAATTTTCCACTTCAAGTCTTTTATTTAACTTCAAATTTTGCTTCCTATTTAGAACAAATAAAATAGAAAACATAGTTTATGTTATAGTTATTTCAAAGTTTATTCATTTTAATTTTGAAATTTCTTACATTGTGCATCTGCATTGAACGCACTTATTTTTTTTAACGTTTTCTTTAACGTCCATGTAGCGTCTTCGTTTCGTCGCTTTTTGAGTAGCTCTAAGAGCTCTTGAAACACTATGACATAATGCATTTTTCGCTTAAAGTATAAATGACTCTCGGCAGATTTTTCAAGCTCAGAATTAGCTATATTGTAGTGTTGACCCTCAACTTAAAATGCGAGCAGCGTAAAGTCATTGCGAATGCCCATATTGTTTGCAATCCTCTCTTACGCTCGTTATTGCTGTTTAGAAATTTTAAAAGTTTGCCGAGCTGACAAAATTGCCGGTGTATTAGGTTACTACATACTGGCAGTATGTTCAGAAAAATGTTATAAAACTTACATATTTGAATAACCAGAGCATTTATTAGTATCTAACACGTTTCTTTTATGGGGCAATGAGGAGCAAAATTCAGTCTTTTTT